AAGTACTGGCAAGCCAAGCAACTTAAACAACAAAACAAATTTTGTTTCCCTGTTCTCAAAACTAGAAGTCTGAGGACTAAAGTGTTAGCGGGGTCATGTTTCCTCCTAAAGTACTGGAAAGAGATTTGTCCCAAGCCTCCCCTTCAGCTTCTAGTGCTTTGCTGGAAATTTTTCCTTTCAGTGCTTGTTTAAGAATCACCCCAATATCTGTCTTCATCTTCATGTAAAGTACTCTGTGTGTTTCCACATTCCTCATTTTTATAAGGACACCAGTCGTATTAGAGTAGTAGGACTTTATCTTAATTAATTATGCCTACAGTGACCCTATTTCCAAATAAGATGGCCATGACGTCCTGGAGTCTAGAACTTCAACACATGAACGTTGAAGGGAACCAATTCAACTCATAACAGACACCCTGAAGGGTTCTATTTTTTAGGTTATCTATTTTTTAATAAAAAAAAAAGTTTTTTTTTTTCCTAATGTAAAAGAACTCCCCAAAGCACTTAATGTTCTTAAAATGTCGCCATCTAGGTTTCAGATACGTAAGAAAGTAAGATATGTATATATTTTTCTTTGGGCCTGAAACTTCCCTACCAATTCTCCTTGTAAGAAATCCTTGAACAATTGGGCAAGGGACTTATTTTCCATCCTCGCTATTTATTTTGACCCTTACTGTATCAGGGGCAGGCTGATATTTGGTTGGGCTATATGGTGTACATATACGTGTGTTCCCTTCAGCCAGCAATCTGTGTATACAGAGTGGTGTCCTCATACCTTCAGATGCCACCAAAGTAGAGTGATACAGGTAATTTCCTCTCCCTTGCTTCATGCACATTAGAATTGCCCAACACCTATGAGACCTACTCTATAGAGATGTGTATAACTGTTAATGACCATACATTTTGACCAGGATGTAAAGTTATTATATTTGCTTTCTCTTCCCAGGATCCCTTCTCTGCTCATTTCTTGGTGCTACTTTAAACCATCACTTACATAATACCAGCAGGCTACCTTTCTTTCTTTTCTTTCTCCTTTTCTTATTGTTCTTTATTTCACTTGTCACTCCATTCATGCCTTTCAGCTTTCATGTAACAAGACTGAACTTTTATAGACACTTTAAGCCAAGCAGAAGAATTTTTTTCTTTTTTTTTTTTTTTTTTTTTTTTTTTTGTCATGTGGTGGCCCAGCCTATTACCGCAAATGAGGTGTGATCTTGCACAATTTGTCTTTATCAGATTTCTCTATGGAATGGTTGACTGGGGACTGTTTTTAAGACATTAAAAACTGTTTAAAACCTGAATAACTATTCCAAGGCCAGAGCAAATTTTAAAACCTGAGGATTTTATAAGTGTGGCTCCTTAAAAGATGACTATTTTTTTAAATTCTTTTAATGTTTATTTATTTTTGAAAGACAGAGTGAGAGAGAGCACAAGCTAGGGAGGGGCAGAGAGAGAGTAAGACACAGAATCCGAAGCAGGCTTCAGGCCCTGAGCTGTTTGCACAGAGCCCGATGTGGGGCTCGAACCCACCAACTGCAGAGATCATGACCTGAGCCAAAATTGGACGCTTAAACAACTGAACCACCCAGGTGCCCCAAAGATGACTATTATTCTAATACTTTCTATCTATACTCTTCTCTCCTATCTGAATCTCAGTAACCCCTATCTGCCAGGTGCGATCAGTATTTTTCCTATCAGATCAAAGATTTGACCGATATAATTTTATAACACGTTAGCCACATCGTGGGCTTTTTACAGAGCTTGTCTGGGCACTTACTACATATTTCAATTTTTTTTTTCAGTGTGGCTCCAACAAAAATGGCTCCTAAACCTACTTTTATTTGTAGACTTATTTATTTGGAAATTGGTATTCTCTGAACAGGTTGGAGAGATAAATATGAAGTATTCAATGAATTTTGTGACATCACAGAAAAACTCATTAACACTCTATAAGCATCATACTAATAATTAGAACTAGGAGTGAAAGAGGCAGTGAACAAACTCACTCCTCTAAGTGTAATGGAGCTAGGACGTGCAGTGATGCAATGAGGAAAATCATGGTGCCCACACAAGCCTAAACAAGGCTTTCTAAGAGTGGAATATCATGAAGCAAGGGAATATTTTGTCTTTCATTTGAACTTTTAATTGTGAGATTATGGATTCACATGCAGCCATTAGAAATGATATGGACAGGGGCTCCTGGGGGCTCAGTCGGTTGAGGGTCCAACTTTGGCTCAGGTCATGATCTCATGGTTCATTGGTTAGAGCCCTGCATTGAGCTCTGTGCTGACAGCTCGGAGCCTGGAGCCTGCTTCTATTTCTGTGTCTCCGTCTCTCTCTGCCCCTTCTCTCTCTCTCTCTCTCTCTCTCTCTCTCTCTCTCAAGAATAAATAAACATTAAAAAATTAAAAACAAAAAAACACGATATGGACAGATCCTTTGTATCCTTAACTCAGTTTTTTTCAGTGATATAACATACAAAATTATCATCTTGAAAAACTATACAAAATATCCAGGTAGTCGAAATTATTTGATCTTCAAATCTTATTTAGATTTCCCCCCAGTTTTACTTGGATGAATGTTTAGTTCTATGTAATTTATCACATAATGTGTATGTTTACGTAGCCACACCATCATCAAAATACTAAACAGTTCCAACATTGTGAGGATCCTTCCTGTTGCTGTTTTATATGCCAATCTCACTTACTTCCATCTCTTCTCCTTGAAACTGGCAACTACTAAGCCATTATCAGTTTCTAAAATTTCATCAACTCAAGAATGTGAAATGGACAGATTCTTACAATATGTCACCTTTTGGGATTGTTTTTTTTTTTTTTTTTTTTTTTTCCCACCAGGTATAATCCCCTAAAGATTCATCCACCTTGTTGCATATATCAACAGGGTGTTATTTTTATTGCTGAGTAGTATTCCATACTATGAATGCACAGTAATTCTTTAGCTGTTTTTCCCAGTAGAGTTCATCCGGGATGTTTCCAGTTTGTGGCTACTACAAATAATGTTGCTGCGAATATATATGAATATTTGCAAACACGGTTTTAGGTGAACATACATTTTCATTACTTTAGCATCAATGCCCAAGAGTACAATTTGCTGGGTTGTGTGGTAAATGTGTGTTTGATTTTATAGAAATCTGCTAAATGTACACTTCCACCTGCGGTGTACAAGTGACCTAGTTTCTGAGTGTTCTTGCCGCATTTAGTGTCACCACTGCGTTTTTTCATTCTTAGAGATTACTTTTACACATCACACAGTCCTCCTCTTCTGAGTATGCGTAGCTAGTTACCATATTTCCACTTATAATCTCAATGTAAAACTGCTACTTAGAGGCCAGAATCCTAACATATTGTTAAAAGTCCGTATACATTTATAATCTGCTAATAAGGATTCTCAGGTGAACACGGCAGACTAATTCTATTAAGTTTTCTAGTATCCCTTGAAGAACAAGCTTTGCTTAAAGTTGCATCTGCATTTCCACTTGGAAGTAAAATCTTTGTCGTTAAACAGATATTTGACCCTTAGTAAGTGCCATACCTAAATAATTGAAGTCATGACTAAAATTAAAGACTGAAAATTGTCAGTGCCTCCATAGTCAAGGACCAAAATGAATGCAGGATTGCACACAGGCTTACTTGATTGTGGAAATATTTTGTTTGCTACATAACATGAATTAGTAGTGGAATCTTTTCCAGTTAGGCAGAATAAAATATCAAGTATGCACTATTAGATGATTCATCAAGTACATTTTATGAATAAATGAGAGCTCTTCACCCACTAATTTTACAGTGATGTTACATAGCCCTTAATAGATGGTTGTCTTGTTATTCCTAGATCAGTTTTCATTTGGGAATAACTAAAATATGATATAAATGTATCTAATTATGCAAACAGTATTTTAATAAACATAAAAGAAACCAGCATAATTCATCCACGAATTTTACTACCTCAAAATACAATATTTTAAAGTTACACTTTAAAGTACACTTTAGGGGCGCCTGGGTGGCTCAGTCGGTTAAGCGTCCAACTTCGGCTCAGGTCATGATCTCGCGGTCCGTGAGTTCGAGCCCCGCGTCGGGGGCTCTGCACTGACAGCTCAGAGCCTGGAGCCTGTTTCCGATTCTGTGTCTCCCTCTCTCTCTGACCCTCCCCCATTCATGCTCTGTCTCTCTCTATCTCAAAAATAAACAATTTTATAAAATAAAATAAAATAAAATAAAATAAAATAAAATAATAATAAAAATAAAAATAAAAATAAAATAAAAATAAAATAAAAATAAAAAGTTTATAAAATAAAAATAAAATAAAAATAAAAAAATTTTAAAAAAGTACACTTTAATTAAAAAAAAACAGCAAAATAGGCATATTTTGATACTCATTGTAGAAAGATGATTAGGTTGGTACTGTTTATAAGAATCTAAAGGAATGAAAACTGAGCCTTGGAGACCAGTCAGGAGACTCATTAATAGTCTGTGTAAGAAATAAAAAGGGCATAAATGAATGAAAATGGTTTGAACGTGCTGTTTTGATGCCATTGATAATTCAATGTCAACTCACTCACATTCCAACCTAATCACAAACCATCCCACCTCCCATTTCCTGAATCATCATGTAACATGCAACGTATGTCCTCACCATACCTTTAACTTTACCCCATCATTGCGTACCCGCTTGATCCTTGATCATCAACCCAACCCAACCCCGATTATGTGAGTGTCAGAGGAAGCTCTCCACAGTGTTGACAGCACAGAAAGAACTATGTTAAAATGTTGGAGACCAAATATTCTATGTCGGCCTCTCATTTGGTACAGTTGTGGTCATGGGAAAAAAGCAAGGGACAGGTTTGATAGATAAATCCAAGAATTAAATTTAGTAGGATACGTCTCTTATAGCATTCCATAGGTATTGAAGAATAACCTTTTTCTGTGTACAGAGCATGTGCTAAATGTTACCACACACTAAAATTTGTTTTCCTGAATTCACAGGTACCTCTGTTCTACAGGTGACAGCTACTGATGCAGATGACCCTACCTATGGAAACAGTGCGCGGGTGGTTTATAGTATTCTCCAGGGACAGCCCTACTTCTCCGTAGACCCTAAAACAGGTTAGTGCATCTATGTGCAATTTATGTGCAGATGTGTGCTAAAATAAAAAAGAAACCAATATTTTTATCCCTGTGTACTCTCGTACATCGGAATTGTTATTTTAGCACATTTTAAAGTGCCCTCACTTTTTCTAAAATGAGGTAACTGAATCATTGAAGATAAAATAACTGTTTTTCTTAATATTTTGATTATCCGTCATTTATACCCATACCAGTAAAAAGTTTATCTTTTCATATCCCTGCAACAATTACTCTCTGCTTAAAACAAATGTGGAGTATTACATCAAATGAGATTTTCAAGTGTATTTTTATATTAATTACATATTAGTTTTAAGTCTTTGCCAAAAAGGGTAAATATTCATTGGATGTTTCCATATTTTATTTGAATTTGATTGTCACATAAGTTGTCATATATTACATTGGGGGAACTACTGTGTCTAGAACTGACATTTTTTCGTAGTTGGAAATTTCTTCACTCTTCAAATATTGTCTTATATTAGAGAAATTAACTGAGAGTGAAGACAAAAACATAGAAAATGTGTTTTTTTTTTTTTTCAGGAAAAATAGGTATTCTGCTCTCTCTCCTCTCCTTTTTCTGTCCTAAACAATGATATCATGTTATGTGATGTCTAAATGGGAATGCATTATAGGATCATGTTACAGCAGCATAATCTAAAAACCACATAAAAGTTCATGGCCCCATTGACAAATAATTTGTTAATAAAAATGTGCTAAACATACATCGATTTCGAATGTAGCCAAATGTCCAGTAAGAAATGAGTTTCACATTTTACTCATAGTTTAAAGATAGTAATGAGGCACAGATGAAGAGAGAGATCCAGGATATTCCAGAGGTTCCTAAATCCTTTCTAGTTACATTAGATTCATCCTGAATCAGATTAACATGTGGGATTATCAAGAAGTAATGGACACAGCCACATAACTAACACAGAAGAAAGCTATGTTTGGTTGTAATATCCCCTTATACTCACATAATTACATGGCATACAAAACATTTTTTAAGGGACCCTGCTTCATAAGTTTATGCATCTCAGGTTTGTTTACCACTATCTTAGATGAGGTACATCCAACTGAAAAGATGCTAGCGCATTCCCAGTAACTAATACCATTTGAATGCTAAGAGTATTGTCAGGATCATGTTTTCAAGAGAATTCCACCAGGTTATTTGTCTTCTTTCTTCCCCCGGTGTGCTCCAACCCATAAGTATATGGGACAATAATGGATCTCGGGCATACTGTTAACCCCTTAGTTATTATAATTTATGAAGAAAATAATGAAGAATATGTTCAGAGCTAGGTAAAAGCAGAATACATACATACAAGTAGATCCTTGTATTATATGCATTATAATTATAAAATAAATATATAATAAAATGAGGTAAAAACTAAAAATCAGGAGATGATAAAAAAATAATACAATGTGGGGCGCCTGGGTGGCGCAGTCGGTTAAGCGTCTGACTTCAGCCAGGTCACGATCTCGCGGTCCGTGGGTTCGAGCCCTGCGTCGGGCTCTGGGCTGATGGCTCAGAGCCTGGAGCCTGTTTCCGATTCTGTGTCTCCCTCTCTCTCTGCCCCTCCCCCGTTCATGCTCTGTCCCAAAAATAAATAAAAGTTGAAAAAAAATTAAAAAATAATAATAATACAATGTGAACTAAAATAAGTATCAGATAAGCAACTTCTTGAGAGGTCTGGGGGACCCAGTCAGGTAGGCATCCGACTCTTGCTTTTGGCTTAGGTTATAAGCTCATGGTTCATAGGTTCGAGCCCTGCATTGGGCTCTGTGCTGTCAGCACGGAGACTGCTTGGGATTCTCTCTCTCCCATTCTCTCTGTCCCTCCTCCATTCATGATCTCTCTTTCTCTCTCTCAATACAAATAAAGAAGCTTAAAAATATAAATAAAAATATTTTATTTTTTAAAATAAAAAATCAGCAATAGTCAAGAATGGCATCTATTTATGAGTGATTCTCATGAGTTTTTACCACTCCTAACAAAAACTATTAGAAGAGTTATCTGGTTTAATATAGATGTACTTATATTTCGAGTTGAGTCAATTTTCACACAGCCTTCATATATTTTTACCCAATAAATAATGAATATTTCAAAGAAAAATATAACATTTCAGAACATTTCTGTTGTTAAATTCTATGTTTAATTTGCAGGCACATAAAAAATGAGACTAAAAAAGCCTACCTTTTAATTATATACAAGGAGCATACTAGATATTCTTTTCTTTTCAACACTTTTACAGCATTTTAGATATCAAAGGGTTTCTGCTACATGTTGCTAAAAAAAGGGTAGACATTGGGCTTGAAATCTTTCTCAAACACTTCTGCACTGATAACAGACATTCCACATGTAAGAGGACAGTGATGTTATACTGTAAATAATATAGTATAGTGCAGTAATTCATAACTGTTATTTTTCTAAAATACTAAGGTTTATTCCAGAATGATTTAAGGATACTTCATGACCAAATCCTAGGATGTTACATAATATCATAATAAATTGGTTAAGTGACTTAAATTATATGCCCCTGTGTACTTGCATAGAAATTCAGAATAACAACTAAATCCAATGAGAAACTTCATGCAATGTTCTTAGCCCAGTCCTAGGAAAGATATAGGTAGGTAGTCAATTTCTAGTGTCCCTCCCCTTTTAAAAAAATGTTTATTTATTTTTGAGAGAGAGACAGAGTGCAAGTGGTGGACGGTCAGAGAGACAGGGAGACACAGAATCCAAAGCAGGCTCCAGGCTCTGAGCTGTTGGCACAGAGCCCGATGCAGGGCTTGAACTCACAAACTGTAAGATCATGACCTGAGCTGAAGTCAGACACTTAACCAACTGAGCCACCCAGGTTCCCCATGTCCCACTTTTTTTTTAAGATTAAAAAGAATTTCCAAAATTGCATAGTGTGCCATCACAAGGGTTTGAAATAGTCTTAACTGAAACAGGAAAAAAAAAATTGTTTGAAAGAATTTTTAGTCCACATTAACTATACAAAATGTGAATTCTACATATTATATATCGCTAAATTACATTTTTCAGGCATTTAAAGAAAGTTTTTTAAGTATTCTTATTAAGAAAAATATACTTTTAGAAAATGTGGGATGACAATTTAAAAGAAAGTAAGTTAAAAAAATAAATAAAAGGAAGTAAGTTAGATGTGAAAATAACCAACATTTTATCCTTAGAAATGACTGTCCCAGCTGAAAATAGTGTCTCTAGATGAGATAAAGTGACATGCTGTCCAGGAAACAATTGTCATTAATGCACAAGTCCTGACCCACAAAAGCTCTGATTCTCTAAAAAGACCTTTCCTTAACATCTTGTAGCAGAAATCAATCAGCTATAAAAATGCACTCAGGGGAAGGCCTCAGTGAGTTTCTTAGGATGTAATTGAACAAGGCTCTCAACATAGTTTCTCCAGTGTGCATGATGTAATTAAAGTCATCAGCAACTTTGTTTCTATTTAACCTTTTCAATTTTATTTTATTTTAACAATGAACAAAAAATTGCTTGTGGAAGATCACTATATATTTGGATAAAAGATGTAAAGCATCTTTAAAAGTTTTATGAATTTCAATGTTAATTTTGCAGAATTCCATATGAAACTCTACTTGAGAATGACTTTATTTTCCCAAACGCGATATTTTGCTTATCGATAGCCAAGCAGTTAAAATATTTAATTTATGGTCCAAAAAAACTGCAAAATGAGAAAATTTGTCCATAGTAGAATATATTTTGTCAATTTGTCTCATCCAATAGCCCTCTGTAATTGATATAACAACAATAATAATTGCACAAATAGTTGTAGATACATTTTTAAATCATTTCCTACAATTAGCTGCACATAGACAAAAATAGTGAGCCTAGTGCTGAAGAATTTTCTTTAGAGAAAAACTAATGCATTAATTCAGAACTGTGTCATGTTTCCTAATTACTGAAAGAAATTATGTATCACTTTATTTTTTTTAGAGAAGAGTTCTAAGAAGTTCCTGAAAGTGTAAGAGTGTATGGGGTTTAACACAAGAAGTTCATTTTAGATAGCATTTAAGAAATAGTTGACACCAGTGGTGGTTCACTCAATAACAATTTCCCACTTTGTTGGTCCTATTAGAATTCTAACTTTGCTCATTGTAGCAGCATACTCAATTAAGAAGCTTGATTTCCCAGCCTCCCTGTTGCTCTCGTGACACACTTCTAGCCAGTGAGCTATAAAAGAAACACCACTAGAGGCTTTTTGATATCTCTATATAGGTGCCAATGCTTCGTCGTTTGTTTTCCCACCTTCTGGATTTACACATATGCATAATCCCTGGGGGTACAGCAACTGTCTTGTAATCGTGGGACAATGAGCACACAAGGTGAAAGTCGCATGGGAAAAACTGGTGAGCGAAAGCCTGGCAGTGAAGTCACTCTGAGTAATTTTTTTATGTGCAAACACATGCAGTGCTGATACCTGGACTTTTGTGAAACGAGCTTTGCAGACCGGTAAATCCCCTTCCCAGCACTGTGCACTTCCCACACAGGCGTAGACATGGAGCTCCTAGACGACTTTTATTCCTCTCAACCCAGGACACATGGTCCAGAGAGAGAGAGCGCAGTGCTTTCTGTATTTAAGGAGTCATTTTCAGTTCCACTGCCAATACTAAGCTGGAAAAGGAGATTGTTCACACTGACTCGAATATCAAAAGGTACATTAATTGTTGATATTTGGGGGGAATCAGAGAATAGAACCAAAGATCATTTTCTCTGACACGCCACTGAATATGCATATGTGAAAAATAATTTTAACTGCCATCAAGATGTAGTAAGTAAACTATGTACAGTATAGACGTCAGATAACTCTCCTACTGCCGCCTAGGTCCATCTGTGCTGTTACAAATGGCAAGATTTCATTCTTTTTTCAAGACTGAAAAATATTTCAGTATATTGTATTATTGTATGTGTGTGTATACACACACACACACACACACAC